TATCCCCTCCTCTTCTATCTTACATCAAGGCACACGAAGTGTCCAGGTGTCCATAAAGGCAGAGAACACTGCGCAAAGACCATCTCCATCACGCCTGACTCCGGAACAGGCAAGTCCTCTCTAGACTGTGAGCGTCTTGAGGCCAGAGACCATATCTTCAAGAGCTTTGTATCTGCTGTGCCCAGTGCAGTGCTCAATAACTGTTGAATGGACAAACTTGTACAAATCATCAGAGCAGAAAGGATCGTTTGAGATCCTTCAGTCCCTCATTTCATAGACAAGGAGACTCAAGCTGAGGACACTATGTGGTGTGCTAGCTGAAGACAGAGGGAAGACCAGGCCCCGCTGTCTCAACCCGCCGGCTGCCACCCTTCCTGCAACATTTCTAATTCTTTTACTATTCTTGCAAGGGGTTTTACGGGAGCGTTCTGCCAGGGCTGACATCATGTAGAATCCTGTCATCACTCAGCAGGAAAGCTGTGCCAGCCCCTCGGGAGGACAGCGCCAGCTTGGGCTCTGCATCTTTGCCCTCTGCTGTTTATTAGCGGGAGAATGTAGACCTTGGAGTGTGAGGATTAGTGTGCGTAGGGGTGCTGCAGATGCACACCCAGAAGTTGAAGTTGTAGCCAAGAGTCACACTGATTAAACACTCTACCTTTCCCTTTCATTTTCTCAAAATACGTCCTGCTTTAGTAATACTAGCAATAACATATTAGTCAGTGTACTTCTTACTAGCTGCTGTAACAGCCTTACATATTACGTTTGTTTCTTACTCACACGAAGGCTAATACTTAGGGACACGGGCTGCTTTCGCCTTGCTCTGCCGTGTTGGGGCTGCAGAGTTCTTCTGGCACAATCCAGTCCATAGAGAGCAGGCTTTGTACCTGTCACTTAACCGTCTGGCCCAGCAGTGTCACACATCACTTCTACCTCCACTCCTCTGGGGGTCACTCAGTCATGTGCCCTGCCTGAGGCAAAAGGGACTGGGAAGTCTTCCCTGGCTGACCAGCCACATCCCAGCAGCAACTCCACTGTGGAAGGGGAGCAGAATCTTTATTGGTCTTTGCCACAAGTAGCTAGCATTCATACAACATTGATCATTTGCCAGGCAATGTGTTAAGTATTACTTCATGTCATCTTGACACTGACCCTATCAGGTTATTATCACCCTCAATGTACAGATGAAAAAACTGATTGTAGAGATGTAATATAACTCACAATATAAGATTACATAAGTAGTTGGTGGCAAATCCAGAAGTCCAGCCGTAACTCCAGAGCCCAGGCCCCTGTCGGCTATGTTCCACTGTTTTTAGCTTCTGGCCTGCAAAACTGTGCTAGCCATGAAGTAGCCTGAGTGGTCTTCAGCAATTTACTTTTACCTTCTGCATGTTGGTTTTATCTTCTGTGAAGTGAGGGCGTTAAATAGGATGAGATCTGAGATAACTGGTAGCTGGGACATGATTCTTGGGTTGGACATATCAGATGTGTGAGTGTCTTAGCTTGGGCGGCTATAACAAAGTACCATAGGCCGGGTGCTTAACCAACAGACATTATTTCTCACATTTCTGGAGGCTGGGAAGTCCAAGAGCAAGGTGCAGCAGCTTTGGTGTCTGGAGAGGGCCCACTTCCTGAGTAGCAGACGGCAACCTTCTCACTATCTCTTCCTGTAGTGGGCAGAGAAAACTCTGGCGTCTCTTCCTCTTCTCGTAAGGGCACTAATGAGTGCCATCATGGGTGCTCCACCCTCATGGCTCCATTTAACCCTAGTTACCTCCCCTTTACATTGTTGATATTATCAGTTCAAAGGTTAGGATATCACACTGTCAAGTCCATTTGCTATCAGCCCTGCCTGATTGTGCCGCCTAGGGAGAGGCTGAGGTGAGGACTCCTTGGAGCATTCTGCATTCTTCACCAACTCTCCCCCCCCTCCCCCAGGTGAGCAACCTGCTCTCCTAAACAGGGATTCAGCTTTTCTCTCAGGTTTTGCTTGGTATGGTAATGCCTTCAGCTGAGGGCTTGTATAATTGCAGAGTGGATGATGATCTCCAGGCCAGTTTCAAGTCAAAGCCATTTTTAATGGATTGCCAAAGGATGGTTGGGATGGGGGAAGGGAGAAGAGATGTTTAGAGAATGCTTTTTTAAGCCCCTAGATCTCCCCAAATTTTAGTCCTTGCAGTTCTAAACCTGAATTTTCAGGAGGGGGATTGGAGAATGCCAAGTACATCACCGCAGATATACATGAGAGCTGGGTTCACTCTCCGGCACCTATGTGTCTCTTGCAGATGCTGTTGCATACAGTGGGACAGTCAAGTGACTGTTCATAATAGGCCAGCAGTCAAGTGACCCGAGTCTATTCCCAGCTCCGCTGAAGGTCCTTCATGTGTCCTCGAGCTAGTTGCTTCCCCTATCAGTTTCCTCACCTGCAAAATGAGAAGGTTGAACTAAATGATCCTCATGTCTCTTCCAACTCTAAAATCCTAGATGACCCTCAGATGTCAACAGTGCTAAAGCCCTAGACCCATGAAATGTCACGTGGTCCACAGAGGATCAGGCTCTCCCTGTTTAAATGCTTTCCTCCAAGACCTCTCACCGACCTTTATCGATACAACCTGACCTGTCCTAAGTGTCCAAACCACAATGTAATATTGAATATCAGCTCTAATGAAAAAATAAACAAAATTAAACACAGAAAAAAAGAACCTACAGCTTTATTTCATAAACTTTCTTGGGGAAGAAAGCAAAATGTTATTCTGGGTTATGAATACCATCTAGGAGTTCATAAGGCTTATTATCACATCTTCACAGGAGAAAAATTTACCAACACCTGGCAACAACAACAACAAAAAAAACACAACGATGTCCCCTCTGCCATAGTCAGGTTAGGCTGCTGAGTTCTGATTTGACCTTGAACTTGTAACTGAACAAGAAGGACAAGAGGTGGATTTCTGAACAAAATTGGGACAGTCCTGGTTCTGTCTGTGCATGTTGATTTGGCCTGTGGTTATGGTGCTAACAGTTTAGTAATTTGCCTCATTTCCCCCCCCCCCCCAAAACACTGATGAGAGAGAGACACGTTGATTGGTTGCCTCTTGCACACGCCCCAACTAGTCCGCGTGCCAACCCTCTAACTGCTGAGCCACACCAGCCAGGGCTAATTTGCCTCATTTTAAATCTCCCTTTCCCTTTAGCAGCATCATTTTCTCTGTGTTCAGGGATTAAAACTGAGGTAAGAATGGCTAAATAAGAGCTTTTTCTGGAATACAAATGACTATAAATAAAGGAATATAAAAAGAAGGCGTAGGAAGAGTTCTTCGCTCTATTGAAGTTGGCAGATGCCATAGGCTTCCTCCCCTGGTCACAGCATTGTAAGTTCCGGTCTTGACACTACATTTCAAGACCATCCCCATGCTTGAGACTCCACTGGGCACAAAGACCAGTGCACTTGGGTAAATAGTGTTCCCCAAAAGTTTATGTCCACCTCACAATGTAACCTTATTTAGAAATAAGGTCTTTGCCAGTGTAATAAGATAAGATTATACCAGAGTAGGTTGGGTCCTAAATCCAATATGACTGATGTCCTTATAAGAAGAGAAGAGATACAGACACACAGACTGACAGGGGAGGCAGCAGAGACTGGAGTGATGAATCTACAGGGTGGGGCAACTCCGAGTTTATTCTTAGATCACTGTTTATTCATTACTGTGTTATTTTCCATATGGACAACGTAAACTCACTCCCCCCCACCCTGTGTAAGCCAGAGAACACCAAGGATTGCTGGCAAACACCAGAAGTTCGGTGGAGTCAAGGCAGGACCCTCCTCCCTGGAGCCTTCAGAGGGAGCATGGCCCTGAGGATACCTTGGTTTCAAACTTTTAGCCTCCAGAACTGTGGGACAATAAATTTCTGTTGGTTCAGGCAACCTGGGGTCAGTCCTTTGTGACAGCAGCCCAGGGAACTAACACAAGCAGGATGGCTAGGCGAATGGGAACCACTTGAAAACAAATCGGAAGAGCCAGAAAGCCCAGCCTTGGGTTATTCACTGCCCGTTTTCTTCATTCCCACTTCCAGTTGTTGAGAAGACAGGAGATTGTTAGACCTGCTGATGGTCTCACTGGAAATCCTGCTCCCTGGTCCCACCCAGACCCCCATGGCTGTGTCTCTTCCCCCCAGTGACCGTTCCAAGTCTTTCTCAAGCCTCGAAACCCATCCACCTGCCTCACCCTGAGTCAATATAAACACATTCCTCAGACACTATTGATCTTTCCCTTATCTTCAGATTTTTTTTTAATCCTTACTGAAGGATATTTTTCCATTGATTTTTTTTAAGTGGGGGAGGGGAAGAAACATCGATGTGAAGGAGACACATCGAGTGGCTGCCACCCACATGACCCCAACCAGGGCCAGGGACAAACCGCAACCGAGGTACATGCCCCCAGTGGGAACCGAACCCCGGACTCTCAGGTCCACAGGCCGACACTCCAACCCCGGAGCCAAACCGGCCAGGGCTCCATTGCTTTTTTGGTAGAGTGGAAGGGAGGGAAGGAGAGAGAGAGAGAGAGAGAGAGAGAAACATCGACTGGTTGCCTCCCGCACAATCCCGACTGGGGCTGAAGATCAAACTGCAACTGAGGTATGTGCCCTTGACCAGAACTGAGCCTGCGATTCTCTGTCTGTGGGCTAATGCTCTAAGTGCTGAGCCATACCTGCCAGGCCGACCTTCAGATTTCTTTACCAAGTTAATAGTCACTCCTTCCACCTCTGCAAACTCTTGGAGATGGCTGCCCTTACCCCCTAATGCAAAGCCACTAGGGACTTTCCCAGTCAACAGATCCCATTGTCTTCTCTCTACTAACACTGAAGACATCTCAAATCCTAATTTCAAAGCACCATGCATAGTCTCATACTTGAAAAATTGTTTTAAGTGTTTGCATCTTGCCTTTCACACACTCGTAGTTAACATGGTTACATGCGACAAGAAGGTGATGACGAAAGACACTTCCTCTTTGCCGCATCTATTGCGAGGATGAAGACCATTCTCAGCAATCAGACTGTCGACATCCCAGAAAATGTCAACATCACTCTGAAGGGCCCCAGAGGCCCCCTGCAGAGGGACTTCAACCTCATCAATGTAGAACTTAGTCTCCTTGGAAAGGAAAAGAAGAGGCTCTGGGTTGACAAATGGGGGAGAAATAGAAAGGAGCTGGCCACGGCTCACACTATCTGCCGTCATGTGCAGAACACAATCAAGGGTGTCACACTGGGCTTCCGGTACAAGATGAGGTCTGTGTATGCTTACTTCCCCATCAGCGTCGTTATTCAGGAGGATGGTTCTCTTGTTGAAATCAGAAATTTCTTGGGTGAAAAATACATCCACAGAGTTTGTCTCAGGTCAGGTGTTGCTTGTTCAGTATCTCAAGCCCAGAAAGATGAGTTGATTCTTGAAGGAAATGACATTGAACTTGTATCAAATTCAGCTGCTTTGATTCAGCAAGCCACGACAATTAAAAACAAGGATATCAGAAAATGTTTGCATGATATCTATGTTTCTGAAAAAGGAACAGTTCAGCAGGTCAATGAATAAGATCTAAGTTGTCCAGCTATAGAAACACCAAGACGCCGAATGATTTTCACACTTATTTGTGATCTTTTCAAGATGCAATAAAAGCCTCGTATTGATTTGGGGGTTGGGGGGGGGCATGGTTGCATGCGCTCTGCAGCTCTCATCCTGGTGACCACTCCCCTTCTTCTCAAAACTCAGCCTGCTTGGACCCTGGTTTTCCTCCTAGCTCTCCAGCTGTTCCTTCTCAGCATCTTTTGCTGGCTCCTATTCCTCTACCCACTTCGGTTGGCCATTTTCTCTTGTCCTTCTGTGGGCTATTTATGACTAATCTCATTACTCCTGTAATTCCAAGGAACGCCCGCATGCTGACGGCTCGCAGATTCTTGTCCGCAGTCCAGACCTCCCCACTGATCTTCAGACTCTTCTCCAACTGCCTGCAAGGCAGCTCTGTCTTGATGTGCGACAGGCACCTCATTCTGAACAGACTTAAAGTTGAACTTGATCTTTCCTCAAACACTCATCCTCTCTGTGCCTTTCTGTCTGCACTGGGCGTGGGCATCACCCACCACCCCCCTGAGCAATGGGGGAGCTGCCTCCGGGCTCCCCCACTGCCCGCCCCACGCCCCGCGGCAGCCCCGCTCCTTTGCTTCCTCGTTTGCCGCTGTCCACGGCAGCACTGTTTCCTCGGTCACTCTGAAGTCATTTGTGAGCTATCATCTCATCTTCGTGGCTGAATACTCTGGATTCCAGCCCCATGCTGTTCCTCAAAAAAATTGTTCTTCATGCCTAACACCACCATGAGGCATTCGTTATAACTCCTCTGGACCACGGCAGTGGATTACTACCTAGTCCTATGGCTCAGGTTCTTTTCTGAGCCAATGCCAACTTAAATACGGGCAGGAAAAAAAATCCGAAGTACTGCTTGAGGTCTGATTTGGAGAGAGCATGACACCGTCCTACTAAAAAAAAAAAGTTCTTCGGTGACAGAAGACTCAAACCGGCCTCAATCTGGCCTCCAGAACTCCCCACGGTATAATCTCACATGTCCCCTGCTCTCCAGCACCTCCTCTCCTGTCTCTGCCCGGGTCCCCTGACACCTGATTCTTCGGCCTCTGTCTGGGCTCTGAGTGCTCCACCCTCCATTGTGATGGCTCCACCCGCCCCGCTCCTGCACCATCTAGCATTGCCCACGAAATCCAGGACACACTTTAAAACGTATCCCAAGTCACCATGGCCATCATCACCACTGTCACCTTATGTTTGAATAGTATTTCACAGTTTCCAAAATGTTTTCACATGCATTTTCTCAAGCCTCACAAAAACCCAGTACTGGGAAGGATAAATATTTATTATTCCTTAAACAAATTGTCGGAACAGATTGCAACAGGTGAATTGTTGGCCAATATGTCACTGGTTTTGGGACCCTCTTTAGTTTTCTCTTGTCTCCTGTCGTATTCCACCTCCTATTATGATTATTTCTACACTGGTCATATCTTTCATTCTGTCTGGTGCACTACAGCAGGTCCTTAAATAATATCATTTCATTCAATGTCATCTCATTGTGATGTCGACGAGATGCTGTAGGATCTTTACTCTTGTTTATATCAATTAGAATATGGTAAAATTGGTTTGGTTTTACATTTTCTTGCTTAAAGTAACTGAATCTATTGCGGACATTAATGATGACTATCAGACAAAGGGTGACTGCAGTAGTTTGGATTGTTGCGGATTTTCAATTCTGAGACTTGAAAATCTGACCCCACAGAAGAGCAAGAGGTGGCTTAATTGATGTGTCCCCATGTTGTAAAAACTAAAGCTGGTCAGTGGGCGTTAGAGGAAGGGCTACTGTGGACTTGACGTGAAAGCAACTTGATTACTGTGGGAACAGCCAGACGCTGAAACTGTCCGAGACGGTCTGTGTCTGGCTTACAGCCGTGCCTACTCCTGCATTGAGGAGGGGAGAAGGCCAGGAGCGTAGATTCTGTATTTATCCCTCTATTACATAACCTGTAACGAGAATCTAGTATGCACCAGTAACTGTGCCAGGTGATGAGAGTGCCATGGTCATAAAAACAAAGTCCCCTCTCTTGAGGAATTTTCAGCCCACCGGGAAAGACTGGTTTAAGTGAGAAATTAATATGTAAATTACAATTTGTGACAGGTGCTGGTGTGGTAAAGACAATAAAGGGTGCTCCATTGGGAATTATGGACACACCTCATATTGAAAGCAAGAGTTAAGGTGCAGAAGCTACATGGGCACACAGAGAAAAGGGCAATCCAGGCAGAGGGACATGCGATGCAGAGACCTTGAGGTGGAGACGAAATGAAAATGAAGGAAGGCAGTGTGGCTGGGCAGCGGTAAGGTGCTGGGCTGGATGGGGCCCGGGGTCCACAGTAAGGAGTTTAGTTTTTCTTCTCAATGCACTGGGCAACCGTGGGAAACTGCAAGGTACTTTTGCACTCAAAATAATTTGACTGCTATTTCAAAGCTAATTTATCTAAGGATGGCAGCTTCTTGAATAAACTCTAGTATGCTTGGACTACATCACTCTGAGTGGCAGCTGTTCTAATTCAGAGTGGGTCCTGCTGCCAAGCACTGTGAGGCACATCTCTGATTCATAAAGGGGCTTTTTGCTCTGGGAGGAACCCAGGGATCTGCCTAGTCTCAGAGGGAGCGAGACTGCGAGGGAACACAAGCTCCTGTGATCGGGATATTGTAAGAATAAAAAGAGGGAAGGAGGAACTGAGCCCCTTTTCCTAATCCACAACCTTCAGTTGAGTCACACAGAGGGGCCTGTCTTCACTGCTCCTTTGGAAGAGAATCTCAGAAATAATAATAATGGGCTGCTCCTCCAGTTGCTCGGTGACTTTTTTTTTTTTTTTTATCCTCACCCGAGGACATTTTTCCATTTTTTGTTCAGGTAGAGTGGGAGGGAGAGAGAGGAACAGAGAGAGAGAAAGACATCGATGTGAAAGGAACACATCGAGTGGCTGCCACCCACACAACCGACCAGGGCTGGGGACAAACTGCAACCGAGGTACGCGCCCTTAGCGGGAACCGAATCCAGGTCTCTCAGGACCGCAGGCCGACGCTCTAACCACTGAACCAAACCGGCCAGGGCGCTCGGTGACTTTTTACTGAGCCAGGCCTTGGGGATATGACAATGACTCAGACAGACAAAGCTCTTGCTATCAGAGAGCCTACATAGTATGGATTTGAGGGGTGGAAAGCAACCCTTTAGGAAGTCATTGTAAGCATGTCCAAGAAAAGAAGGGCTAAGGGCAAACACATTCATTGATGCCAAACATATGTCAGAGGCAAGAGAGAAATTGTAAGACCTGCTCTGAATGATGAAAGGAGGTTTTTCGAAAGGAAAGTAGAGAAGAAAGAACAAGGGAAATTATCTGAGTGGCAAAATTAGTCTGCTCTGGTACCTCAATTTCTCTCTAATCCTTTTCCACCCCAGCCACAAATTTGAAAGGTTTATAGGAAACTTCTGCTGGAGTCATTTCTGGGATAAGCAAATGTGAAGAAATGAAGACTTATGTTCTGAGTTTGCAGACCTGCCCATCTTTCATCCCTAGTGTATAAATCAGCTTATGTAAAAAGATGAGCTGTGGCCCTTTGAGCCGCTCTGATAATGTTAGGACCCCACTGAACAAGGATTAGCATGAATTAACCTACTGCAGTATCTCTACAAATCAATAGGTTGACTTTTACTGGAAATGTCCCAAGGCTTTGTGCACAGGGCAAGCCAAATGTCTCCCCACACTGAGGCTGCAAATGCCCTGGATGCCCTTACTGATAAGATCCGATGTACAGATGCTTGTCTACAAACACTCAGAGGCTGCTGGCAACGCTCATTACCACCCCAGTGTGACACGTGCCAGTCTGTTTCTGAGAAAATGTGTCAGCCACAGTGGATGTATAGGGAATCTGGCTTTGCCGTGACTGATGTCCCATTTCTATACCACCTTTAGTCTGGGGACCAACTAAGAACTTGTCTACCAAATGAAGAGATGCAAAACAATCAGATTACATCCTGTTCTGTTGAGGTCAGAACAACTAGACCTGACCTACATTTCCAGCCTCCGCTTGTACCTGTCCTCTGTTACTCTGTTACTCTTCCAAATTACACTATCTGTGGGATCCTGACTGCTCCTCTTTGTTCAGTCTGATCCTTTAGCCAGGAATGTTCTTGATCACCAGAGGAGTTTTCTCTCATCCTTTGTGACCCAGTTGAAATCTCAATGTCTTTGAAAATTCTTCCTGCTCGACTGAAGAGTTTCCTTTTTGGGGGGTTCTCATAGGTTCAGGTTCTGTGCTTGGCATTGGGAATACAAAGTCAAGCAACATAGCATCTGCACCCTCAAATCTTCACAATCTAGTAGGGGGCAGATACAAGTAGCTACAATCAAATGTGGGCCCCAGCCTTGAGCTCATCCATCATAATGAAATTCCCAGTTGACTAGTGATATCACTGTCTCATCTGGTTCTCTTCCAGGCACATTAGCCTCCTTCCAAGGAAGGTAATTACCATTCTTATTACAATCAGAAGCAACCTGACCACCATCATAATTATAAAATTACTAAGACAGAGTTAACAATAAGTGAACTTTCCAAATCAACAATGTGTGGGATGAGCATTTGTATCATACAGATGAGTCTTCATTTTCTTTTTTTATTTATTTTTATTTTTTATTTATTAATTTGTTTTTGTTACAGATGTTTCTCATTTTCCCCCCATTGACACCCTCCTCCCCTTCCCCCTGCCCCATCCCCAGCTTTGTTGTCCATATTCATTGGTCATGCATACATGCATGTAAGTTCTGTGGTTGATCTCTTCCTCCACAAATCCCCCCTCCTCTGAGGCTTGTCAGTCTGTACCCCACCTCTATGTCTCTGGGTTAATTTTGTTCAGCAGTTTGTTTAGTTCATTATATTCCACAAATAAGTGAGATCATGTGATATTTGTCTTTCTCTGCTTGGCTTGAAGTTTCGCTTAGCATAGAACACCAAC